TCTAAGGTGACCACCTGCAAGTGAGTAACATTCAAACATGAATGAATATATATGCAAAGTGCTGCTGTTCCTGTGCTTGCCCCAAAGGCAGTTGATGACACCAGGCCAAGCACAGCAAAGCTTTCCAGCTCACAACTAGACTTGTTCTTGACGGAGCAATTCATAACTACTGCAGTTGAATGTGCAGGCCAGCTAACGCAGTAACTCATTAGAATACAGCCAAAAATGACACAATTTTTTTTTTCTAAGGCTTTCATTTTAAAGAATAATTTCACAACTTGATTCTAGGGTAAGTTAAACCAGGGCTAGCATTTGTAGTCTCAAAATGCCAATGAAATTACACTTTATTTGAGAAAGAGGAATGGTGCTCACTAGGAAGCTCATGCTCAGGCCTAATTGACTGTAATTCTGAGCTCCGTCCATTACTTCTTCTCAGGATCTCCTCAAAATTTTAAAGGTCATAAAGGAAAGATTATAGTTGAAAAATAATGTACCACTGAAACAACTAATTTAAAGTCCTACTACTAGCACAGGCTACTTGAATACTTTTTGGTGATATAATGCACACATTTCTTCAACACTGACCAAAAACACTTTGGTTTCATAAAATGCATAAACAAACTACTTTAAGAGACCAAAAATTAATGTTTGAATTATTCTAACTAATAACAGTTGATGTATGAGGGCAAAATTCAGTTAACCTTCTAGAAAATTCGCCTTGCTCTGAAAACATTTTAAGCTTGACCTATAAACATCTTAAGACGTGCTATTCAAAGGAATGTTAACAATGATGAAGAGGCATATCCCAGTAGAATACAGTAAGCTTTCACATATAAGCAATTTTTAGAAGATTTAAATCACGCTCATGTTCTGAGAGCAAGCTGTGGAACAAACGACCACTACATTTTTAGTCAGGGAATACCACTTGGTCTATCCATAATCCATCTGCCAAAGCCAAAAGAGCAGGCTCATAGCACACACACACTAATAATATAAAACACTGCAACCAACTCACTGTCTCTAGTGATTGTGGACTAACCAACCACCCGGGGAAATTCAACAGCCAACACTGGCATTTTATGTAACAGAAACAGCATGGGCTTTGAAGACAGACTGAACTGGGTTTAAATTCTAGTTCCTCTGCTTCTTAAACTTATGACTTTAAGTGAGTCCTGTAATCTCTTTAGGCTTCTTCAATTGTCTAATCTATAAAAGAGCTAAAAATCCTACCTACAGTGTGTTCAGTGGATTAAATGAGACCAAGTATGCAAAACAAAGCATTCAGCATAGTGCTTACATGATGTTAACTTTTTCTGAAAACTGGAGATTCACTACAGGAAGAGTTTACTTGTCTCCACCTGTTTCATCCATCAGCTTCTAATGTTTTGATTAATGTAATTCAGGGGACATGAGACAATTGGCAACATACAGTTGGGCATAGACAAAGGGCAAGGGACAGCTAAAAAGGGAAAAGATGTAAGTGGGAACAGCAGAGAAAAAAAAAGAGGTAAAAGAAAATGACTCTCCACCTGACCATAAATTAAGCATATTAAATGTTTACATACTAGCAATTTGCAACCAACCTGTTTAAACTGGATATACTTTAAAAAGTCTACACAGATTAGAAGAATTTATGAAAAATCTATTTTAGTTACTCTGGTATTCTCTGGACATCCAAAAAGTAAGTGTAACCAATACCACTGACACTGGATAGGGCTGGAGATAGGACTACTCTGGCTCCACACACAGCCATGTCTGAGAAATGAGGCAGAAAAAATCGATGATGTTATGAAACGGAACATGAGACTTCAGACACACTGGGGAAGTGACAGGCATGATGGGTCTTAAAGGAAACATCTCTGACAAACCAACCTTTTTTCATTGGGTGGTACAACTCCGGCTGGGTGTCTAGCAGAAAGGAAAACAATAAAAACAAAAATAGCAGAAAAGGAGATTAAGAAAGAAAATGGCTTCTTTCAAATTCCCTATCTTAGAACTCCTCCATAATGTGAACAAAAAGTATTCTTCCTTAAAAACCATGCCTGAAATATCCCATAAACAAACCAGCAGTAAGAGCTATAGCAAATGACTGGAAGGTAGGAGAGAAAGAAGTAGGTCTGTCATAGGTCTTTTGGGGGAAATTTTGTGAAATTCTCCAATTATTTAACTTAGCCCATAAAGTTCTTTTTCTTAGAAAATAACAAAACCAGAAGTTAGTATCAATTGTGGTTTTCTAAAAGAGACAAGTCCTAGTTCAGAGATGTCCAGATGCCCCCATCCCAAATAAGTAGTGTAAGCATGGCCACTGTACAGTCTCCATGGATGTCTGGGGTTTGTAAGAGCAGATTTTAGGAACGCAGTGGTGACTATTTATCCAGCTCCTTTCTCAGATTCTATTATATTATTGGAAGATCAAGTGTACTGAATTGGTATCTGAGATAACTCGTTTAGAAGGCATTTAAGGTCTGAAGGCTAAGCTGGATGGCCCCTCCACCCCACTTGGTGCCTTCTTCAAGGCCTCTGTCCGCAACAACTCTATCTGGTCAGAGGTGAGTGACTACCTAGGACTGTAGGACTAAATCAGCTTGGGTTCAAATCCTTACTCTCCACCTACAAGTTACACAACCCTGAGCAGACACTTTACCCCTTTAAACCTTGGAACCTGCAAATGGGGACATTCCAGTAGAGTTATTTGAGGATTAAATAAGAACATCCACAAACGATGCTTGGCTAAAGTTGGCATTTGATAAAGACTATAGCTCTGGCCACTATTTTTATCATACCACCATCAGCAGCAACAGCAGCAGACAAATAAATAGAATCTGATTCCACAGCCTGGTCTCGGGGCACCAGTCTCAGCAGCTTGTTTGTTTCTGGTGCAGACCCACAGCTTTTAGAGATCCCTTTAGAAATCAAGAACCAGCATGGGAATAGAAGAAAGCATTCCTGACTGGAAGGAGAGGGACATAGCTTCTTATTTCCACCTAACACCAGAGGTGTCGCACTGAGCAAATCACGTCACCTCTATATAGAGCCTCTCCCTTACCTACCACCTGAGATTGTTATGAAAAGACAGTGACATAATAACAAGAATGTGCTATTTAAACTGTAAAGTGACTTCCACATGTAAGGCATTACACACACTGGAGGCAGCTGACAGGACCAGGGAAAACAGTGGTCTTTGAGCAAACCATCTATAAAATAGTTGGGAGAAATAATATTAACCTTGTGGTGGTACTGAAACCAACTATTTGAAAACACCCAGCATGGTGCCTGCACATAGTAGGTGATCAATGAACCGAGTCTCTCTTTCTCTGTCCAACTCTCACCAGGAACAGAGCCTCCCCAATACAATCCCAGTTCAAAACTCTGACTTCAGTTTTCTAACTGCATTCTTCTCCCCCTTGCCCTCATCCCCACCACCAAGAAGTTGTGCTGTCAATCATACGAACCTTCATTCTCAGATAAGGACGGGAAGGAATGGAAGGGGTGGAATGGCGGGATCTCATCACTCTCTTCAGAGCTCACCCGGACGTCCACGGGGGTCTCTGCGATAGAGGAAGTGAACTGGTCCATGTCTGCACGCTGTTCTTGAAGTAGCTCATCTGATAAAGACAGACACGGCAGGGAACCAGGTTTTCAAAAGGACCTAGTTTCTAGGCACATGAACAACAGTCTGAACAGGCTGATTCATGTCATTATAGAATGAGAGCTCTGCCGAGAAGAGCATCTTACCAGCTCACAACACAGTCAGTGACTCCTGTCCAATTACCCAAAATACCTTCACCAATTCTGTGGCACTGCAGAACTCCAGCACTGAGAACCCCCAGACTCCATCCTGGGAACTCCCTTTCTCTAACGCTTCACTCTGTTTAAATAATTTCATCTAATGGCACGCAGTTTTAAATACCACCCATACACCACGACTCTCAAATCTATACCTTGTACCCACTGCCTCATCAATCTACTAGCCTACCTTACACCTCCACTTCACTTTCAATAGCAATTTCTACTTAACATGTGTCAAGCTTCATTCACATCAATAAAATCTGGCACCACCATCCACCCAATTGCTCACAATGAAACTGAGCATTATCTTTGATGCTTCTCTTTCTCTTACTCTCCTGGCCAACCCACAGCACACACACCTCATTCACCTCCCTCCGGACAGCACCCTGAGGACCATCCACACCTCTTATCTCCCCCATTCCATCTTAGTGTGTGCAGCCACCATCTTCCTCCTGGGTTTTTACACTACTTCCTGGGTGTTTTCCAATCTCCAAATAACAGCCAATTAGTATTTTTTTTCAAATTCATGTTCTTTTTAAAAGCATAATCCAGATCTAGTCACTCGCTAGTTTAAGAGCCTCTAACAGCTTTCCATTATCCTGGAATAAAATACAAATTCCTTAATTTTGCTAAAATCTCTTAACAAATTGTCCTCTGCCCACTTCTTTGGCCTCATTCATCTTTATGTTCTAGCCTCCCTGTGCCCGTGACTGATTTAAACCCCAGGCCTCTGCAGCAGTCACTGCCTGTGCTAACAATGTTTTTTCCCTTTGTGGTCCCAGAGTATTGTCCTGACCGCCCCGCCCCTCTCAACCATCCTACCCTAGTTTTACCTCCCTACAAAGCTCTCATCCCCTTGTGATATTTGTTTTCCTGTTCGTTTCTCTCCTACTAGAACATTAGCTCCAGGAAATATTTTCTGCCGGTGTACAATTTTACTCTGTGACACAGGACAGCCACAATAAATATCTGTCAAATAAATAAAGAAGACAGAGACCAGAAGAGGGAGAGGAAGTGAGAATGTATGTAAAATAAGTGCCTTGAACTACATCAGCAATCATGGAAGGGAGGGTAACAGGAGACTCCCCCAGTCCCTTGCAATTTCACACCTAGACTTTTCTTGCAGTAACAGAGTGAAGGTCAATGAAACTCAAGGCTCTGTGGCTCACAGCCAGTACTTGGCCTTGCCATACAAGCTCCAGTGAATTTCAGGCTTCTGAAACCAGGGCATGCTAATGCCCAGCTTCATGGCCTTGCAGGTCCTATTTCTCGAGTCTTGCACAGCCATCACTCCCAAGCCTTAGCAAACAGTCCCACCTGGCCGCAATACAGACACAGTCAGCACCCACCAATTTCCTCTTGGATTTCTTGGGCTACATAAGGTACTTTGTAGAGCAGAGAGAGGCTTTGGTTCCTCCTTTCTTCGATCACGTGGAGATGTGTCATCACCTGAAAGTACAACATGGCAGAGAAGCCTTGTCACCAAAACATCCAGGCCAGGAGGGACATCCACACACACTTCTGCAAAGGCCAGCTGAGCAGGTATATTCTCTATAACGTCTAGTAAAGCTGCTGGTCAGAGGGAATGTATTAACCTCCACACCATATTTCCTGACCACTGAGGCATAAGAATGTGTTCAGACCATGTAATACCCCTTTGTGATCTGAAAATTTATCCACAGAGAATATTTCAAGTTAAAAGAAAATTTAAAAAATTTCCAAGCCAGTAATTAATTTTTCGCCTGAGAACTTACTAGCTGTACTGAATGAGTTAAAAGGAACCCTCATTTGTACAATGAAAGGGATTCAATAGGTTTTTCTAAGTAAAAA